AGACCTTCGATTTGGTCCTTGAACTAAAAAAATCCCTTATTTGATCCCTAAATTATTGTACGGACCCCCGATTTGGTCTCCACTGTTTATAATTTGGCCTAAGTTGGTCCTTGAACTATTGTACAAACCCCCAATTTGGTCTTTACTGTTTACAATTTCACCCCAATTTGGTCCCTGAGCTATTATTTAACAGAAGGACCAAGTTGGGGCTAAATTGGTAAATAGTAGGGATTAAATTGGGGATCCGTATAATAGTTTAGGGATTAACTCGAGGTTCGTACAATAGTTTAGGGACCAACTCAGGGGTTCGTACAATAGTTTAAGGACCAAATTAAAGATTTTTTTAGTTCAGGGACCAAATCAAAAATCCATACAATAGTTTAGGGACTAAAATAGGGGTTTAACCATGAAATGATTGCATGAATTCTAAAGAACTCCGACTCAGAGATATTTACTTGACGAAAATATAATTTTATTTGACAATAATTTCCTTTTAAATCAAAATACGATATCTTAAATTTACATAGTAAAAAAAAGATATATCTCTCAGTTACCTTTTAATATAGTTCATTGGCTTTGAAAATTTTCAACAATAATAACTAAATAAATGCAGTATAGTTTAGGATTTTGAATTTTTGATTAGTTTATGGGAAGGTGAAAGGAACCAGGGCCAGCACACACAGAGTCGGGTACAGGGTGAGCAATTATTAGCCTCTTTCAACGTCACTGTGAACAGTGAAGGGAACAAGAGATTAGATTAAAGACTGGTGGTGGCGGTGTCTTTTGTGGATTGTTTTATTGTTACTGACAGTGTGGTCGGTGATGCGTCTATCAGTCCATGTACATCTGATATATATGGCCACCTAACATGAAGGGATTGATACGTTGTAGGTTTTTTGTCTCATGTTTAAATAAAGATATAATAAACATTCTTTTAATTAATTTTTATTAAAATATAAATATTAATTTAATTTAATTAATTAATTGAAGTTATTCAAATATTAGTTGTGTTAAAATATATATTAATTTTTATAATTTTTTATGTGAATTAATTA